AATAAGAAGACCAGGATAGGTCTGAGTGACAACTATAATATTTGACATGTAAAACAAAAATACGTACAAAATCAATAAAACAGTAAAAAAGGCTTCAAAAAAGGATGGTTGGTTGGTTCAAATTTGGTAACATTATTATTTATATTCCTATTAGATTACTCGTCAAAAATAAATTGTTCTTATTCCATTGTTAGGTCTGACATCTTCTAGGTCTGATCTAAAATATATTCAGCCAAGCATTTTATTTTATTTGTATTTTAATACTATAAGGCTATTTATATCTTTATTTGTGTAAAGAATAGGATATTATAGCGAACTCTATTATCAGAAAACATAAGTACAAACTATTTAAAAAATGGAAATATATGTATTTCCAAATACTCTTTGAACCTTTAGTTCTATAGATATTTTCTATTTCTCTATAAATAGCGAGCGAACATCCACAATCGATAAGACAAAGCGCCTCACTAGAGCCGGCGCCATTATAATCTATCCATCAAGATGGCTATCTCAAATTCAGATGGGCACCGCGGTTCTCGTACGATTTATATAGTTATCCAGTGACATTGCCAATAAACTAGCGGCCGCTTTCATGCTTTGTTCCCACGTTTGATAACGATAAAAGATCTCGTACTCGTAGAATAGGGATGCGTCGATCGTTTTTTGTTTTAGAGAGTGGGTCACTCCATTAATCTTCTTTAATCTATGTTCCTTGTTTAATTGCTATAGTATCTGTGTATGAGATAAGAGTTTTTTTGGGTAAACAACGAGTTAAGAGTAGATTAATACAAAATATTTTTTGGTTAACTAGGTTCAATTCTTTTATAAAATTAAATACTTAAATTTTATTTTACATAATATTCATATAGAATAAAGTTATGTGTTCGGTTGTGTAAACGTAGTATTCTTAAACAACAGTTTTTATCAAAGGGCATTGTAATTATTGAAGAAAATTTTGATGTGTAATTTATTAAAGTTGTGTATGGTTTTTTTAAAGACGTAAGACTGCTGTATCAGTTGCAAATGTGAATAATGATAATAACATAACACATATAAAAGTGGGAATTTAAACTGACATTGTTTCCAATTTTACGCTGTCAAATGTAGAGGAAATAATTTTATCAGTGTACAAATTTTTATCCTATTGTGTTTGTTATTGTTTGTAAATCATAGTCACCCTATTTTTTCTCCTTTTCTGACCTTTTAACATTGGAAATAAATAAGAAGAGATATCTGCATTAGGCACGTTGAGATATCTCTACTGTGATTTTAGTAAATACTCAATATACCTACTTACGGTGTGTTATCAGTGTCATTATTAAAATAAACTAAAAAATGTTAATAATTATTTAATACTCACTGCCATCTGAAATCGGTAAGGCGAATTCTGTGGCCATCTTCAAAGCGAGATTGTATAAATTTTTCCTTAATCCTACTAAGGCAAAATCTTAGTACCTACTTAGTTTTTTTTTGTGTAATGTATGTATCGTCATGAATATATATGTATATATTTTCGTATTTATATAGTTACCCTCGGCACACTACCTCCGCTCTCTTTACATATTCCGATAATTTAGGTTGTCTGAAAGAGATCGCTTTTAGCGATAAGACCGCCTTTGCCCACTTAAAACCATAAATTCTCTGTAACTTGTTGTTATGATGTGTGCAATAAAGTGTTAAATAATAATAATACTCGTATTAAATAAGAAATTTGAAAAATAAACAGTATAATATAATTTGTGCATTGATTGTTAACTTACACCGTATAGAAAAATATTTATATTCCATTCTTAAGTAGAATTCAAGCTTTTTCTCATACAGTGCATGTGTTAATTTAACCTTTGTTTGCTTTCCAATTGTATTCAGCGCTCGTTAAGAGGGCGCATACACCAAATATCTTTAAATTTGTGCCACAAAATAAAGTTAAAATAAGAATATTCCATGTTATCGTCACGGTCAAAACAAAAAGTGAAATTATAAAAATTTTAAATAAAAAAAGACTTTGGAAATTTACCCCTAAAATTCACGAATAATCCGATTTTTTCTAATAATTACTACATACTCTTTTTATTTAAAGGATAATTGCTTACATCTTACTCTCCCACGATTCCTATGTTGGCTGGAAGAGATCTCTTCTAGAGATAAGCCCACCTTTGTAACAAATTTATTTACTTGTTTTATGTAAAATTTTTGAGTGCAATATACTCCATTCATTATAGCATTAGACAGAAGTTAAATAAGGTTCTTTTAATGGTATACTTTGTGACAAAATATCAATAATCATGTTACCTTTAAGACTGACGGCTAATTTGCTTCATATCCATTTAATTACCAGGTGCTATATTTAACTGTTGTCATTTAAGCTATCTATTAAACAAATGTATGAGTATATGACTAACTTAATATATTTAATAACTATTACAATAAAAAGTGTTCATCGTAAAGAACCTAAAGAAGCAGGGTTGGATAGTTTCGGCTCGATTCTCTTATCACTATAACTCTACCAAATTTAAAACATTGCATAACCCCTTCAAACGTTTCGACAGTACAGCTTTTTAATTTTGTCAGACTATTATTTATTCATAATTGTTAAAATCGTAATCTGGGATTGTCATTCATTGTGAATGCTATTGCCTTTCTTGTTGCTTTGCCGTTTTCCGTTAAGTTTTGGTAAATATGGACGATGCCGGTGCAGGCCCGAGTGGCCTACAAAAATTACGCTCTAAGCCCCCATACCTACCCTCAACCTTTGACATTTCAGGGAGTTTTTCCAATGTCTTCATCAATAATGTAACTAATTACACTTACAATTAGAATTTATCAAAACAACAGACAGATGGTTTCAGTTTTAGTTCCATGTTGGCTTGGGAGTAAAACATGAATTTATAAAATGCTGGTCTCATGTCAACCCCGAGGTATCGTAAAAAATGGAAAATTGCTCAGCTCCTTCAGACTACCTAACGTTCAAAGTATCAACAAGCTAATATATATTTTATAAATTTATCTTGAAAATAAAATGTTCTGCACTGCTGCTTCTATGATCCTCTTTTTTCTAATGTTATAATGAATGGAGTATAAAAGAGTATAACAATAAAGAGTATAATTGATTAATATGTTACTATTGTAGCCGAGAGCTTTACAAATAACTTTTACAACTATCTATAGTCATAATTTGGTTTAGTTTTTCATGGTCTATCATAACATAACAATCAATTTGATATTAATTAACTTACACGACCTCTTAAGTGTGCAAAAACCCGGTCTGCTGCTATCCTGGGGCAAAGCTCGTGTAACAATGGTGTGGGCAATCTACACGTAACAAGCAGTAACAACTTGCAACTGTATAACATAATGGCTTCTGTGCCGATAACGGAACGTAGAATTGTTTCAACGACTGCCGAGATCCTATTCAAAACTGTGGGTTAATTATCTAATTTCAAATTCTAACGCAATCCTTCGGAACTTCGGACTGATGTTTTGAATAATCAACAAACATAATAAAAACTTACCTAAACCCGGCAAAAGTAATATATGCATTTAATACTTGCCTGAGACAATTCTAATTAACGTCAATATCTTCATCATTCATTCATTATCTTTAAAAATACATCGAGATCGCAATCGCTATTACATGTCAAATAGTTGTAGGGTGAAGTTCGTGAATGGCTTTCAAATGTTAAATTGAAAACCCTAGACCCTAGAGCCGACAATGGCATATAAAATAGCTTTGAAGCAGTTTTATACTTGATAAAGGCAATGAAAATGTTTAAAAAGTTTTTGTTTTTTTTTTAGATAATAATTGAAGAGTTTTTATTTGAGTGTTGTTTAAAATAAGGGGCAGAACAGTGTCCATTGTGTTCAATTATAAATAACATAATAAAACCGTTTAAAAGTAATTTTAAATATTTAATGATTGATAAGTGCTCGTGAAAATATAAGAAATAAGTTTATTATAACATAATAATTGCTTTATTATTAAAGTATTTCATGGTTGCAAAGTTTTCCGAGTTTTATTAAAAATAAATAAACTTAAAAGTAGTATGCATGGGATTATTACATCATAAATTTTTTGTGTAATTGAAAAATATGAAGGTAAGAATTATTAAGATGATTATGGCAATAAATAAATAATAGTATTAGGTAAACAAAAGTATCATTACGGACCCTGTCGGGCACAGATTTATATTTAATTAACAAATTTAACAAATTTATATTTAATTTAATTTAACAAATTTATATTTAATAATCTCATATCTAGGAAGAATGATAGTAGGAATAAAAAAATTCAGTTTCAATCTCCTAATTAAAAAAATAAAATACACGTATATATTATTAATAAATATTTGCGTGAATCGTAAGTTATAATTTTTTTTTTTTAATTTTAGGACGATTTAAAAAATATATTAATTAAAGTGCATAATATATTTGGAATAATCTTTCTCGTCACATGATCTTTATTCTTAATTATAATCTTCTGAGTAAAAAAGTTTTAAATTAAAATTCCACTAATCTACATGAATATGTGTTCTACATTGAATAACCCGGTTTTCTATCCACAATAAATGGAAATTACCTCAAGGCTTTAACAAATCAATTGTGTGTAACAGTCGACACCGCAGAACCGTTCGAACTGTCTGTCACCCGTGGATACCGGTTCTATGACAAACTGCCGACGAGCTATACCTCAACATCCCAAAAGATGGGAGGTATGACCTCGTATCTGAAATTACATTCCCTTACACGGAAATGTTACAAGCTTCAAATAAAATTGATCGTTACAAAACTCAAGATTTGGTAGTATGGCTAAGTTCCTTCGCCTGCTCTGATGAACGAAAAAAAAAACTGCTACAAATCGCTACAAAAACGCTGTAATCAGACAGGTGTAATGTAAATAACATTTTTGCCGCTGCATATAATCATTCTTGTAGGTTTATAGGCTAATGGAGAAACTTGATGCAGAATCGGTGGGGTCAGGATGATTGGTGACCTCCGAACCCGAATGCTTCATTGAGCACAGCAGCTGAGCTCGCCGTATCCATTGAGTCGATCGCGATCGCTGTGGCCCGCTCAGTGCCGACAGTAAACACGGAACGCGTCACACGCGCCCACCGCTGTGTACGCGTTTGCCTCTATTTTCTTTTTCACGCGGGCTTTTGGCGGGAAGTTTGACAGTTTACTTTTTATAAAAAACATAAAGACTTTTTTATGGAAATATTGTAATAAAAATATATTTGACTGGTGAAATGAGTGTTTAGATTGTGATCAAATCGACTTGCAAAACAAAACACTGTGAACTGCCGAGATGACGTCTGTGTACAATGAGGTGAGCGCTCGACATTTTCTGTTGGCATTTAGGTTTTTGTTGAGTAATTGACTTCGTAAATTGGTCCCTAAACGCTGTAACCTTTTTGCTAAGTTTTTTCATACAGTTTGTAAAAAACTAACAAAAAGTACGCATTAAAAAGGGTCTTGTGTTGTTGTCAACCAGTTTCTTTGGATTTTTACAAAGCTATCAGTGTTAAGTAGGTAGACCTACAAAGAAGTTGATAATGGGTCAACAACTTGTCTGCGTCTCCACTTTCGATCGTCGCGCCTACTTCTCAGCGCATCATAACTTTGAGAAAGGTGGCCACCAAGCTATAAAATCGAACGCCGATTCAATAAAATGTTTAACATTATTGAAATGTTAGACAAGCCTATAAACCCACTAAACGACATTTATAACTTGATGCAATGAAAGTTATCGTTATTTATCGGTACAAGTTAACCAGTAAGATGTAGAATGTATATAATCAGCTCTAAATAACACACCTCAGTGTCTAGACGCTATAAACGCCAGTAACTATTTAACTTTGACATTGTACCTCATATGTCTACGGAATGTGGGTGTAGTGTCATTGATATTATGCGAAGTTATATAGAATCGCAAATAGAATTATTAGACGTAATTGTATTCAGACATTGTCGTGTCTCGAATAATTTTGCGGTGTGTAAATATTTATTCCCTCATTGGAGGACGAGACAAACTCGTCCAATCGTATTAAGACAGCCAGTCTGCTGAGATTCGTAGAAATAATTATAATCGTTTCACTGTTTTTGTGACATTAATAATGTATTTTGAAATCATTAAAACTCGATATACCTACTCATATACTTAGTAATTTCACTGAAAAACATACAATGAATATAACGCTTGTCAATTAATATGTTTGCTTATGTCTAAGAATATTATATAAGTTTTTTATGAACATTGAGAATATACTTTTAAGTTTAATAAAAACAAAGCTTTTTTATAATATTTTCTCGCTTAAATAGTTTGAAATAATGGTGTTTATATTTCTAGAGACATTTTGAAGTTTAAGAATAGGGATTTTCATATTGCTATAGAGTTGCGTTCAATGAAATCTGTAATGTAATCCAGAATCATGTTAGTTTTTGCCTTTATATGCTGCTACACTGTCTGACTGAAAAACTTACATGATTTTGTTTTCGTTCGTTAAATAAAGAGTTCTATTGAAGAAAGTAATTGAAGAAAGGATTCTTTTACGTCAATTGTAGTTTGTATATAAATTATATATGTTATAAATTGAAAATGTTAAATGAAACTACAATTGATTTGGACGTAATATATATTTTATATCTTGGTGATTATAGAAAAAGAAACATATTGGTATAAATCTTAACATAGGTATCTAAATAGTATCATGGTTATTGATAAGGTATTTAATTGATTGAAATTTAGATATGTGTGAAGATTGTGTAAATGTTTTGATAAGAATGTATCAATTAAGGAAAGAGTTTATTTGAAATAAAATATAAAAGAACTTCAAGAAAGATAGAATGGAGGCAGGCTTGAGTGTCTATTACTATTGGAGCGGATACGTCGTTGATAAGAAAAAAGTAACCACGTTGCGTCTTTTTATTTGAACGTGATAAACTAGAAAACGAATGAAAAGATTTTTACGCCATTTTTACCGTAGCAATTAACAAGGGAGGTTTATGTCTAAATTCAATTGTATTTTATGAATGAAAGATAATTGATTATGAACTTAGTCCTTAATAATTGTTATATTTTATACCCCGAAAACCGGAGTAATTTTAAATCAATGACAAAGTGTTGTTTGCCATTTTTTCGTGTAGCTTCGAAGATTTATTATGGTTCGAATTTTATGTAGAGCTAGTATAGAGGTTGGAGAGCAATATAAACTTCGAAAAACTATCTTATAAATATCTATCCATGAAAATAACGTTTTGGTTAGGTTAGGTTAGATTGGTACAATAAAACCTTTCCCTCAGTTCTTCGTTACGTACACTACAACCAAGATATGTTGGGTTTCCCATAAACCACGAAGGTAACACCTAGTTTATCATGTATATATTTTATTTACAAATATACATTCACAGTCAATACTTGATAACTAATATTGATACCGTATATCAATATTAGTTATCAAGTCTATTGGCAAACGATCTTATCGGTTACTTGTTGCGATTATATGTTGGAATCTATCCGTTAACGGTCAATATTTTTTATTTGTCGACTTCAGCTATATGTGGTAATTCCTATAAAAGACTGATAATAATAAGTATGAATATACCTAGGTACACTTCCGCTAGAGTGATTGTCCATGGTTTTAGGCCCTTTGACTTGCTTTGTGGTCACCACACTGATTAGATCCGTTAGAGGGAGAGTCCTTTAGTCTTATCAAGTGTAAAGGTTAGTTCATTACGTTTTTTCCTGGATCAAAAAAGTAGACTGTTCGATGATATTAAAGTTCATTAGTTAGATTTACAAGAGCAAGGGCAAAAGAAAGGCTATAAATCGATTTATTACTTCATGTTTATTATTTTGCAAGCGAAAGTTCTAGTTTTTATCAATCAAATTTATAACCAGGCGGTTTTGTTGTTTAGAAGTCAGCAGCTCCGCTTGTGAAACAAGCTGTCACGAATGGCGAACGAATGAAACAGTTCTTTTACTTCTTTTGTTAAATCCAAGAACTCGTTACGGTTGAACAGTAAATATTATTGAAAATGATATAAAATAATTTCATATCATTTGTGGTTCCTTTATTTTAATTTGTACTAGCTTAATAATTCTTATTGGATTTAATTCCATATACAATGGGATCATGAAGTTTTTTTTATCTACTTTTAATTAAAGTTACAAAATATTTTTAAGCATATTCAGGGTTGGTAACTTCATTTTGAGTCGGACTCTTATTTTCCAGTGCAAAGTTCAAAAAACTGATATCCAGTTGTTTTTGCTTTACCTAACAGTTTGTGTGTTACTTGTTTATTTTTGTTATACAAAAACTTTCTCCCTTTCAATGATTTGATAATATAACCCGTACCCCTCATTATTCGTATTTGAAAGCTCATTGACCACTTTCACTTTCATTATTTTTACGTTGAACATTATTTTCGTATTAGAGGTAATTTTCGTAGATCTGACTAATTGTAAAGGAATTTAAATAATCGCTGATGTGTTTATCATTATCGGCTTAATTGAATTCTACATTTTTCATGTTTTGAAATGTAAATGTTATAATATAAAGAACTAGCTTTCCGCCAGCGGCTTCTTCCACGTGGTCCCTAGGAAAGTGTTTAGTGGGATATAAAATAGCCAATATGTTAATTAATCCAGGCTTAAAATTTAACTTAATAATTCATATGAATATATAGGTTCAATTCACGAATATGATTACAATGAGAAATTGAATAGTAAAACAATGGTTACTATGGTAACGTTTTTCATATTAATTATGGTAACATTAACTATAGTACTATTTCCTCTTTATAATATTAGTATAGATAATTTAGAAATTAATTCAATATTCCATTTTACGGCTATTACTCCATATTTGATTACTTTTCTCTAACATTGTTTTATTAAAGTATCTTTAAATAGTTTGATAAACAAATTAAGGTCGAACTTGATCGGATTTATGACACAAATACCGTAAAGAAGCTTTGTGTCGGGACCCAATCTGATGTAGTCTTCATTCATGTTTAATTACTAATTAACCTACTTAAACAGCCTAATGTTTGGCGTTAATAATCAATTAAGTACTCGTATGTAAAATAAAACTCGTTTTTAATTTAACACTACTTGCTACTTAAGAAATATATACTTAGGGATATAAAGCTAATGAGATGTATATTGTCATGAAAGATTCTCGATCGTATAGTCTTCAAATCTTATTTTATCTATGGTTAGACTGAGAAATAACTATACTGATCTTCAATAACCGTTGTTCTGAACCCGATGACCTTACATAGCTCATCGATGAGGGAGCACATTGTACAAGCACCCGAACCAGTTCCCAGGAGCGCTGACATCACCCCGATGACTCACAACACCATTCACCAAAACTTACTACAGCCTAGTAGACAGATAGGTAGGGCTGCCATCTGTGAAATCTTTAAAATAGAACAAGGATCTCAAAAGACCGAACATATTATCCTCACTCTCAATTGTCTTATCGATAAAGAACTCGAACAATAATAAAATAAGTACTGTACGAAAGGCCGATTAGTTCGGAGCTTTTCAAGTACCATAGACGGTAAAGGAGTTTGGCATACTCCGTCAAAACCCTCCCTTGCACCCTATAACGTAGTCCAAGCCCCGATATCTGGAAATAAACACCAGGGAATCCAAACCGGGGCCCACAGGATCTTACTTATATAATGCTCAGTGGCCGTGTTCCGGCAACTTTTAAAGTTAATATACGGTATGCTGCAAGTATCTATTTACAGATACTGAGACCAAACAACCACAAGAGTACACTTCACACACTTCACATATTAAAATCGCCATCCACATACTTTCTAGACGAATTCGAATAGATTAAATTTCTAAATATTATAGGGATATTGCCAGTTATACGAATAGATTTTGCACATGAAAACTATACTTCAAATAAATTGGAGTGTTGGCAAACATGTGTATATAAATTTGTAAGCAAACGAATTGACTACAAGGAAATCAACTAAGCACGAATTCGACTTTACTTGCAAATGTTATTTGATTTAGACTTTGTTGCCAAAACCATAAGCTAAAAACATATAAGTATAATAAATATGTGTATATTTTCATCCATAAAAAGCATTAATTATATGTTTCGAAAGATTTGATTGTTTGACTCTGGCAGTACTGGACCTATTCAAAATATTCTTACACTCCCGGGAAGCTACATCATACGCAGTCGGCATAGGTATCTATTTACGCGTGCAAAGTCGCGGGAAAACGGCTAGTATAATATTATCACTTTTATTTATTTTTGTTACATAGGTATGTTATGTAGAATTTATGCTAATACTTAC